AATTTAATGATAATGTTTTGAATGTTTGTAAGTGTCAACGATGGTTCAGCAAATTTCGTTCAGTTGACTTTAACTTTAAAAACTGTGATGGCAAGGGCCAACATGTTGGAATTGATGTTGATGCTCTGAAGACTTGTTGAGTCTAACACAAGGCAACACACTCAGGAAATGGCCCTGAAATTGCATGTCTCTAATGAAACAATAAGTAAACATCTAAGGAATATGAGAAAAATCCATATAGAAGGTGTTTGGGTGCCTCACAAACTCTCCAATGATCATTGTTTCCAACGTGTGCATGTTGCTTTGTCTCTTTAATTATTTCATTAAAATATTCAATTTTTTTAATAATGTAGATTAAGATACCACTTCTATATGTATACAGTAGAATACTTATTATATTGTAACCCTAAATATTTGAGGTAGACTGTAGAGATCTTGCATATACTAATTATTTTTTATATTATTACTTAACTTAGATAACATGATAGAATCAACTGAGCTTTAAAACCAAAAATATGGAAAACAGCTCTATGCCTTAATTTGAAACTTTGAATGATGTGTCATATTGTTTTGGTTGTATTTTTGGAAAATCTCTTTTTGTTTTATGAATCAGGTCGCTTGAAGTCTGTAGCAAGAAGAACTTTTACATATTTGGATGAATACCTCGGATTTGTTCTGTTAAACACCTCGGAAAGTTATATAAACTGCCCATCTTTTTTGGAAGATATATATGATTATTTGGAAATCAAATCTGCTCAACAAGCTAAAGAAATCATTTTTCAGGTGAATGAAAAAGCATTTCAGTTCACTAGCAGTGTCATCAATCGACAAAAGAGATGGACATCCAAGAACTGTCATTCATGGAATTTCAATAAAGATTATGAAATCATTCAAAGCAAGAATGAATTTGAAAACGATAATAACCTATATAGCAATAAAAACACTGTCTTGCTTATCAGCAGTTAGGAAACAGTGACATCTATGGAAGATTTTATGCAGGTGATGTGTTAGTTAATTAATTATGTATTATAACATATATTAATCTGCATCTGTGATATCAACTAACTGTTTAAAAAAAAAAATGTTGGACAGAATGAGGAGTGTATAATCATTTGTGTTGCTACTTTCTAATTCTATGCAGGCCATAGTCCACAAAACCTGAGATTAGAAGGCTTAAAGATTTTCATTCCTGTATTTTTCAGATCTTTAAAATGCACTAAATATATCTCTGAAAGGCACATGAAAGACAATTCAAAATAGAAAATGTTAAGTTTCATGGCAACTGAAAAATAATAATCATGATCTATTTATTTTTATCTTTTAACCTTATATGCATGGATAGGTGTTAAATTATGCGCTATGATGTTTTACAGAGTTTCCTTTAACATGGTATAATGTTTCTGATGTCAGAGTTATCAATTATTCATTTTATCCTACAATGTTAATTTAGTGGCAGTTCATGATGAAGGAGAGAAAATTCCAGATACACTATATAAGGATACTGAAACAAACTGTGCATATGCATTTTGGAGGCTCTAGAAGTTATGCAAATACATTATTTAAACTGTATAATGGACAAAAGTATTTTATTCCTCATATGACCATTACATTGCATTCTGCCTTATCAAGGTCTAAGTCAGACTAATGTTGCAATTCTTGAGTACAAATACATTTGTAACATATCTGATTTCTCATGTGCAGCAGAATTGTAATTTTGAGTAAAAGTTGGGCACATCTTCTGTAGATGCACATAATAAATTCAGAATTATAGTCAACAGTCCTTTTCAAATACAGAGTCAGTCTATTGGAATAACCCTTTACACATTCAATTCAGTTAGTTTTTAAGCATTAACCAAATATCTGTATTAGTCATTTTGATAGATTGCTTCACTGAACTATAAATATAATTTGATTAGAATATTTTTGACAAAGCTTAAATGAAGCTTCCTTTTAAACTCTACTGCAAAACAGTACTAGTAATAAAGTTGTATACTTTCAGGTCTGGTTAGAAGTTTATTTATAAGTTACAAAGTCAGTGAGAATATAAGATGCAAAGCCACTACAAGTTTTTCCAATTCTTTAGTATCAGAAGTATGAAATATATGAAATTGTACATTATGTATGGACAAGTTTAAACATTGCTGAGATTCATGGAATGCACTATAAAGTTGGTGTGTCATTTCATTATGTATGGACATGTTTAAACATTGCTGAGATTCATGAATGCACTATAAAGTTGGTGTGTCATTTCATTATGTATGGACATGTTTAAACATTGCTGAGAATCATGAATGCACTATAAAGTTGGTGTGTCATTTCATTATGTATTGACATGTTTAAACATTGCTGAGATTCATGGAATGCACTACAAAGTTGGTGTGTCATTTCATTTTGCAGCTTAACAGCTTTTCTCCACCTGGTTGCTCATCAGTAAGTCTGAGGACTTATAACACCAAAAATTGGGTTTCAGTACTAATGTTAGGCAGAGCACAGCCAGCCCAATAATTTTATGGTTAACAACAAAAACATAATGGCCTTTCATACTTTACTAGTTTTAAAGGTTTTGTAGCATGTAATTCAACTCTTCTTGTCAAAGATAATATATTTTTCTGTTGTATTTCTTTCATTAATAATGCCTTGTTATACAACTGATAACTTGAACAATAACTTAATTTTCAATAGGTTACTTTATGGGTGCCACATTACCTAAATACAAGCTATTTGCCAAAATTGCTGGAGAAGGAAAATTTCTTTCTAAAAAATTTGAAATTGGATCGGCTATGTTCAGTCTAACTAATGAAAACTCAAAGTTCATGTTGAAGGTAAGTGTTTGATATTTCTTCTGTTTAGCAATTTTGTGTTTCTTTAATAGCAGCAATATAAGTCTCATAGAGGCATAGTAGCTTTATGTTAACTTATTCTGGTATAACAAGCTGTATGATAGCAGAATGTTAAACAGGCTGCCCTAATGAGGTTTGAGTTCAACAAACATTGACTCATATTTGTGGGTTATCAATAGAGCATTACTACTTGAGCTGACAAAGCTCAAAAATTCAAGCATCTTTCCATCAGGTGAAAAACAAACACTTAGGCATTTATAGATTAGGATGTTAAGCAATCAATCATGATATAGCATTCAAATGTTAAGATCAGTAAAACTTAACAGCATATATTATTCCATTTCTTGTGGCTTTCAACTAAATAGCACTTTTTATTATATATACCCGTTTTAAACAACACAGTGACGGATTTGATAAACATACTAGATAAAAGTATTGTGAAAGTAAACATATTTTTATTTTTTCATATATTTTTGAGTGCGAGTTGGCATAATATATTCCCCTGTACTATAAGCTGTGGGTGTGTTATAACAGTGACAGGCAATACTTTAGTATGATCGGTGGGTAGTAGGTTGCTGCTGATTAACTACCTTCCCTCTGGTTAGTAGTTCAAACTTTAGAATGGCTGCAGTTAACCTTTGTAGCTTTGCCATAAATTCAACATACAAATACAATGAATACATTGTTAAATCTCTCTTACTTGTGATTTGTATTGATTATTTTAAAAACAATCCACAGGTTTCACATTTCAGTATATAGCATTAATATGAAACTGTAAAAGGTTAGTGTATAATGCAAAGATATATCATTATATCTTTGTGACATTATTACCTTAAAAAAATCAACAACTAATAAATGAATCTTTCTTTTCTTTAGATTTTAGGTAATGATATGAAGAAAGAGATAACCCATGGTTTATGTTTCAACAGATCATTCAGCCTTTACAAATCGCAGTACATATCTATATATCAATTAAATATATTTGTGATACAAATAAACCTAGGATTTACAATGAAGCCACAACTAGACATTACGCTGAACTGCAAGGATCGTAATTATGTATTCAAACCTCAGGCACTACTTGCTGTGGGTGGCTATGCTTCTGCTCAAATTTTGGTAAGTTCACTGCCACCATTAATTCACCTTATTTGAAATATTAGTATGTAGATATGCAGCTCTATATTATCAAATATAATTTCAATCGTATAATTATTTTTTTCCTACTTACAGTTCATATTGCAATCTCATTTTTGTTATACTTTCATAATGAAATAATTCCTTTAACATATTAAATGCTTCTTGTTAAGTCTACTTTTAAAAGTTTGGGATATCTTAGTTACAGGTGGAGTGTAAAAGCTAGTTGTAGGTGTTTATTTAGTTGTAACAATAATCCTAAAATGTTAATGACTCTGAAATTGTTGGGAAACAATTACAGTAACTGCTTGTTATCAAAATTCATTTCTTAGATGATGACTGCTCCCAGGGTCATCATGAAACATTACAATGAAAAGAGTTTGTTTCAAGATTATTTCCGTTTTTACTTAATTGTATAATTATACTAAACGTAAAACGGTAAGATGAGAGTCAGTGGAAGGCATGTGGGATAGAGTATTGTAAGTTAATATATTTATATTGTAATCAATAATTGCATATTGTTTAGTTAAAATGGTTTCAATTTAGAAATTAGGTAATTGCTTCTTATAATTAAGAAAGATATACTAGCCTAAAAATAAATAAATGCATTTGTTAAATTAAAAACAAAATTATAATTTGCCAAAGTCAGTCAGACTGAAAGTTTACGACTGTTTCATAAATGGTTTGAAAGTGAATGGATACCAGTTTTGCTTACTTTTTTTGATTTTGGTATATAGCCTTTTAATCACCACTAAATTTGTAATACTTCAAGAAAACTAGTCTGCTGCAACAGAAGTAGTGAATCAAAGAATAGATCAGGCCTTTGTTATTTTTTCTTCACTAAAATTTGTATTTTGCTTATTGTCAGTTTAGTAGAAATTGCATACCAAGAATAAATATTATTAAACAAAATAAATATTTATTTTTGCTATAGTGTTAATATCTATTTTAATAAAATTCCCATTTCTTTGTTTTTTTTTTTAGTGTGTTAAAGCAGGGATGGATGCTGATATCACATTCAATTACTTCTTGAAAGCTTACTTAAACACCTACACACCCATGTGTTCCAAATTTACACGTGGAAATGATCCAATGAAGATAAATTTTAGAATTTGGTATCAGTTATGGCTACCTTTTTGGGTAAGTTTATCAGGTTAACTAACTTGCTGTTATGAAATAATGTAAAAGTGTGAAACTCGTAAGGAGTCTTGAACATTAATATGACATCACCAAGCACATATTAGGCCTAACAAATGGATTCTATAAATAGCTAAGATATAGATCTGATATTAATAAGCTTTATTTATTTTATTAGAGAACTGCATCATATATGCTATGTAACACACAATACTGAGGTCATAATCATAATACATCACATTCAGCATAGTGTTTACAGATCTAGAAGAAAAAAAGCTATCTTAGTCAAAATAATTTGTCTTCACAAGCTAAAAACTTAATTTTGGAGCATTAGGCATGAGAAATGGAGACTGGAATGATACTCCCCTCCAGCTTTTAAAACTTTCTCAGTCTGGGAAACAAGTAACCCACCAAAACATAAACTGCACTTGTCCTGTCAAAAAGGAGGAAATAGCAGGATATTGCATTTGTACCTTAGTCTTCTATCCCCCACCCACAGTTTGTAATTGTTTCTTGATAAGTATAAATACACTGCCATGTCTTTTATACTATAAATTAAATACCATTACACAGTTCTCCTCATGAGTATGCAAGTGTAAATATACTGCTTGTTTTTTTTTGTTTTTTTCTGGCTATACAACAGTAGGTTAGTATTCAATCCTAACAAACTGCAGAAGAAAAGGGAAGTCTGGATAAGCTAGGGCATACAAGAGATTCACTCCAGTCATCCACAATTTAGCATATGCATATAATACACATTTATAAGTAATTTCCTTTCAAGTTAAGATAAAAAGGTTCTTAAATGATTTAATATCTTAATTATGAATAATGTGGTTATTAAAAGGTAAGCCACTTCACTGTTTGCTATGTAATTTATTTTTTTTTTTGCATAAACTATATATTTGTTTACCAACTCAATTCCATAGTTAAACATACTTGATCATTGAGTTATTCAGTGAAAGTAAGTTAAACACTGTTGAAAATGTTTATAGAAAATGTTCTAAATAAAATATTGGCACGTGTCACAATAAATGTAGCCTGTTAAAGTATAATAAAGAAATTCCAAACTACTTCATGGGTTATCAGAATATACAATTTATATTGGAAATCAGAAGTTTGGAAAACACACATGTATGGAATTAGTGTTAATTTCATTTCACATTGGTGAGGCATATCTTTATATACTTTTACTTTGGATCATTCTTCCTGTGACAGAACATTCTATCAAGATATTCAAAGTATTATTGTTTAAAAACATGAACTTCTGATTTACAGAGTAATAACACATGCTTGAATGCCAAATGTTAATTGGTTACTGTAGTCACTGGTTGAATTGATTAGCTTTGTAGTTTTATGTTTTAGATTAACAAAGCAAAAAAAATAATTACTTTCCCATTGAGAAATTATATCAAGTAATCAATTTGCACTTTTTTAGTATCTATACACTAATTAACTGTGGTTACCCTAATCTATCTCAGGATAATTGTGGATTTAAATGACATTCTACTTAGTGAAAATAAGTTATGCAACTGTTTGAAACCAATTAGATAATTTTCTTCAGCTGGCATAGTTAATTAACTATTAAAATGGTGTCATTACATGATGCTTTATTTTTTCTTAGAATTGTAAATACATTTAATTTTTTTTTTTATTTTACAAGTGGCGTGGTGTGAACAACTGGAAGAAGTTCACGTGGAAATTAGGTTCAGGCAGTGAACAAGAAATACTAAAGCAGTGCTGGCTGAATGATGTGTGATGCTTCCATCTCTCAATCATTATGAATTTTAGAAATTTATATTTGATTTATCAAATTATGTCATGTCTTTATAGAAAAGTAATTAGATATATTACAAACTAAAATATATTTTAGTTGCAATGATGAAAGCAATCCTTTTGATGTTGTATCATTAGTAGGAAGAGTGCAAGAAATAGTGGTAATGGAAACGTTTTCAAACTTACTATTAAGTCAATCATACTATTTAAATTCTAAATATATCATAATTTGAATATCAATTTGATTGGTTACATAAAATTGAGTTAAACAATTAGTAACACTCCACAATATTATTCATGACAAATGTTTCTTTATATTATTTCAGTAAGGTAATGTAGAATTCAAATTATATAAATTGTGATCTAGATTACAAATTAATAACCAAATGTATCTCTTTTATCAACACGTGTACTATAGGACCAACATAAAACAAAAACTGTATCTCATTCTTTATTTTTATTTTTCCTACTGATGTACATTGGGTGCATCCAAATTTTTATCTGTAATATATAGACATTTTAACAACCAGGTTATTTCCTTTTCTACAATTTTTTTTTTTTCTTTAATTGTAAATATGTTCCAAAACTTCAGACTACTTTACTTGTAGTAATTCAAACAAAATTAGAAAAAGTTCTAATCTGCCAGAGGGAATAATCCAAATAATTCAATCACCAAGTTCTCTTCACAAACCCAATAGACAATTCATTCATTATGGTCTCTTTGTAGAGCATTTTGAGCATACAGGTACATTATTGATAGTACTAAACAAACACCAAGCTGGGGAAAATCAAGTTTTACAAGAAGTTATTTCTTTCAGACTGGACGGAATTTTTTAAAATCTGTCATTCTGTCTTTACTAACGTAAACTTCCATAATTTCATCACATTTTTATTCTTACATAATCTAAATACTGAATCAAATGAACCACATTTTTGTATAACTTTTTTTTTTTTTATTAATTTTTGTTGTATTTTTATTAACAAATTCAAGGAATGATGAAGAGGAAAGTTATTATATAATGAACACTGCAGGAACATTTTAACTGTAATTAAGTTGCATTTTTAAGGAAAAACACTGAACTAAATAAAAGTGGTAAAACATTAAAATATATGTGCATTCATGAAAACTAACTTAAATATCAAAATTTAACTAAATGTTTAATGGCAATGACTGCAGAAGCAAAATCTTAAGTCCAAGTAATTCACATTTAAAGTTACAATAGTTTAAAATGCAATTCTTAAGTTGTCATGTAATGTTTTGAAACTAACGAACGTATTTCTGAAAAGGTACTCAAGTTGCTGTTCATGCAATGTCAGCTATCATTTTGGTTTCCAAAATAGCAGAAAGGAAAATTACAGACCTTCAGTAAAGTCTACTATCTAAAATAATTAATTTTCATATTTAAAAACATCCCAATAACAAATGGTTATAGAATCTAATAATATGCACAAAGGTGTAAGTTTTTTTTGTTTTGTTTTTTTAACTGTTAAAAGAAAATAAGTCATTTGCTACAACCATGTTCAGAAATATAGTGAAATTACATAGTTACATACATTACACTGAATAGTCTTTCTGGGAAAAATACAGTTCCTCTAAAAATGATAAAATATCATTAACAACATCGATGTAGAAATTGTAGAGGTTAAATAAGCCCCAAAAAAAGAAAAAAAATTGTTTTCTACATGTTAGGGTATCAGAAAGCCACCAATACTGTAACTGAGGAGCAAGATATATTGATATTTCTCTTCAGTCAAGTGGGAACAAAGAACCTTACCAAGTTCAAGATGGATTTGTAACTTTATTATGAAAGTAAATACACTTCTCGGTCTCTTGGGAAAAAGGCTTTTATAACAGTGTGATAAGAGTATTTAAGATTTTTACAGGTAGCAATTCATTGTTTACTTTGGCAGGACTAGCTCAAGACTGACATTTTGACACACTTAAACTTGATAAAAGTTATCACAAGTGTCCAGGAATATCATTCTTGAGCTGGCCATACTGAAGAATAACAATGAAATATTAGTATTACTTATAATCTGTTGTCAAATAGTTAAAAGTACAATTGCTAAGAAGCACACAGCAAAGGGGCAGCTATATACCAGTGAAGACTACAGAGTTTATACAAAAAGTTCCTCTAGTTAAAAGCTTTCTTTTGTGAATATTATTAAAATTAAAAACTCCTGTTCAAGTAAAGTAGTACCACAGAATGACTTAATGATCCAACTAAACACTTCACCATGTATGTCCAGGGAGAAAAAAGTTTAAAACTAAATAATCAACTCACAACAACTGATTCCACAGCTTGTCTTAAACTCAAGTTTCGTAAACGGCGTTGGGCTAATTTTGAATCATTTGGAGGTGACAGTTTAAAAATGTGTGGTGGTGGTGGTGACTCATCCATTGGTGGAGATGAAGTTTCAATAAAATTTTCATCATCTTCCCAACAAGGTGGCCTAATCATTTCCATACTGAAAGTGACATGGTGTACCACCATCCGTTTCACAGCATTAGCACTTTCCGTAAAAGCTGCTAGGTCTCGTGCACTTTTGTTCCTAAAGAAATACATTAATTTAATTTTTCAAACCAAGATATGGCAAATATATATGAATAAAAAAACACTTTAATCCCTTAAAACCCAGTGGCATGCATCTTTCCATCTTTGAGTTGCATTAATGAAAATTAATTAATAAAACTTAAGTCACCTCATCTGAAACATGAACAATTCAAACACATGGTATGATAACTATGGGGCCTTTTAAAATTTGTTGTTGTTGTTTTAATAACTAATAATACAATAATGATCAATTTATAACAGATATTTACAATTCCATTAAGCATGGTCCACGTAACTACTGACCTAAAAGTCAGTTTTCACATGTATACTATAGTAAGCCCAGAGATGTCACGAGCTAGATTACTCTGGTCAAAGAAATTGTGCAATAATAAATTATCTAAAGCATTAAAACTAATACAAATAAGTAAGTTTTTTGTATAAAGTAGAGCAAGATAAGTACTATCCGTGTTCTCCTTTTACTAGTCACAATCTCTACCTTTACCAGAGGGACAAATACGAAGCTAATGTTCATAATAGCCTCCAGTTGCAGAACTCTGGTGTTCTTGTAAACAGGTAATTAACTGCTAAAGCAATTATAAACCTGGAGGGAAACTCATTAAGCTAATTCATTAACTTTTATGGCATACAAATATTATAAGACCATTACTAACTTGCAAGACAAAAAAATTCAGTTTTGAGGTACCTCAAAATGCAGCCAGAAATTTTAGAACTTTACAGTCTAGTGTAACAATACAAGGAAGAGAGGAAGCTCCAAGACAAATAGATTGAGGAAAAAAAACAATGTCATCTGAAAACTAATGTTATGATTTTTTATTTTATTTTTATCAGTTTCACAACTTGAAAATTATGAAAAATAACATGCAGTTAGTTAAATTTCAGTTTGACATCACCAACTTTAAATATTTGCTGTTTACAAACTATTTGAGCTACAAATAGGTACCAAGTCAACAAATTCCCAGCTTAATTTTATCCACTGACAAGTTGTATCTGCATAGGCAGAAAATGTAACAAATTTCCAACATCTCATTAATAATTACAAAAAGATGCCAAAATCAAGAATTAGGGCTAGCAGTTATTTTTGTTTAATCATTTTATACAAAAGAATCTTAAAATTTCCATCAAGAGAAAACTTTAAATCTTAACATTTCAGTTATAATTATGTTTTAGAGGTAATTTGAGGAAATAGATAATTATTCGAAACTTGATGTCATTTTGTTCCTGTAAAAACCAGAGATCCTAGGCTGTAAAGGGTTAATACTGAGTAAAGTAGCTGTAACATTCTTTCAAATGTTAAAAAAAAGCACAATATTTTGTTAACTTACTTCCTGAGAATGTTTGGTGTGTTCAAAAAGATTGTTGGTCCACCATGTTTGACCCATGGATGACTCAATACAGTCTCTGCAGTATAACGCTGGCTAGCATCCTTAACTAACAAATGGCGTATCAAATCTTTAGCTTCCTCAGAAATTGAAGACCACTCTCGTTCACAAAAATCATACATTCCTTCTTGAATGCATGTGAACAACATGTCCTACACATAACACGAGAAAAATAATCATTTAAAACGTATTACAACAAAAACTAAACTAGCATTGAAATATTTATGCACCACAGTTTAGAATTCTATTAAAAAATTGAGTGCAAGTAAGAATTTGTAACAAGGTGATATTTGCTTCAGTTTAACACCACTCTAATGAAATGTAAAAAGTAGTGTGTGTGTGTGTGTGTGTGTGTGTGTGTGTGTGTGTGTGTGTGTGTGTGTGTGTGTGTGTGTGTGTGTGTGTGTGTGTGTGTGTGTGTGTGTGTAAATCTATTATTTCATCACAGTCAACTTTTAATAAGGATAATTAAACACATTTAAAATTTCCTGTTGTTAATATACATAAATATATTTTACCTACCACTGCAATTCTCGGACATTGCTATATGCATGTTAAGTATGTATTGCCACATAATGTAGAGAATATGTAGTAGTTTACTTTAGCATCGCTATAGTTCTGTGGCACAATGACCCTTTTCTATATATGAAAATAACACAAGTGTAATATTTACTTGAGTATTTAAAAATACATATTTTTTTCTTTTCTACTATATCCCTGTAATTTGTTTTTGGTCGTTTGAAGTCAAGCACAAAGCTAAACAATGGGCTATCTGTGCTCTGCCCACCACGGGTATTGAAACCCAGTTTCTAGCATTGCAAGTCTGTCAGACTAAACAAAATTAAAACGTCAATATTAAAATGCTAGTTTCATATTGAAATTCAAAAAACTGAAAAAAAATTTTTTTTTTTTTAATGTATGTATATTTAGTTTGTAAAATTTATAATATACTTCAGAAACAATAAAGATCTGTTCTTTACAAAGAAATTTAATTTAAATAAATTAATCAGGAATTTGTCAAAATTTGTGGTTTTAGATATTCAAAATGAAAATATTTTATTCACCTGACAAGCTTCACAAAATTCGCCATGTTCCCATCCACAATCACTCCCACAACGTCCATAAAAAGGAGGATAACCACACAACAGTATGTACCTAAATAGAAAAATTCATTTTTATGAAAATCAGTTTACTTATTTTTGCATGAGAACAATACGATCAGTAATTCTTATTTTACACCAGTTTTGTACATAAAAAACCACACAGATAGTTGCGATTACATAAATTTACAAAAGTTACCAATTAAATGTACTAGTTAATTAACATACGACTATATAACAAAAAAGCACTTCAACACAATTAATATTTTACTAACAAAATTCAATAAAAAAGTCAAGCTTAAATTACCTTATTAAAAACTTGTATAAACACAACTAAGACCAAAGAGAAAGAGGAGAAAAAATCGTACATGATCACACCAAGACTCCACAAGTCACAACGTTTGTCGTACGTGGTGGCCTCACCAGTAAAGGCTTCCACTACTTCTGGTGCCATGAATTCAGCTGAGCCAACTGGAGTCAAGAGCTCAGGAGTGCTGACTGGAGTTGTGCTACCAAAGATGATCCCACTACTCAAGTCAAAATCACAAATTTTGACTGGATAGACCTGACAAAGCCAAAATCCTTTAGCTGACACTTCTTTTAATATAAAATTATAATTTATTAAATCAAGATCACAGGGATTAATAAGATAAATCCGAAATGAAATACGGTCGATGAACAAATCTTCAAAAATATGTAACAGCTTTATATGTGACAATATATAAAAATGAAACCAAGATAACAATTAGATACCTAAAAATCTTACATTTTGTAGAAAAATTACCTCTTTTTAAATTGACCAATGAATTTGGAAAAAAAACAACTACTAACTTGATCTTCACTGAAGCATAAAATGTTCTCTGGCTTTAGATCTCTGTGTGCTATGCCTGCAAAATCAATAAAGATAACTTCATTTCAGTCAATATAGGTACAAAGGAAGCATAACCAAAAATGTGATTTTTAAGTCAAAATGACAATTAGTAAAGCTGTTTCACCTTCAAGTCAAATCTTAAAAACTGCACCTTTTTTGTGTAAAAACTTCAAAGCTTCAGCAATGTCCCTGATAATAATACTAACTTCATTCTCTGTGAAATGGACCCGTTTCTCAATATGAGCTAAAAGTGGGCCTAAGTAAAAGAAAGAAAAATTATATTAGTAGATTAGAGGATTCAATGTCACTGAAACAACTAACCATTATAAGCTTTAAGATAAATTATCTCGAAAAGGATAACGATTACAAAATTTTCTTCATGTAATGCAGTACCAGCACAGCATGTCCTAACTTTGTCAGTTAAACTAAGTTTTAGTTAAGTACACAGAAAAATTGGAACAAAATAAACTTTCATATCTACAGATTGTGTAAAAGCTTTATATGATAAAAGTATGGCAAGTGTAAAGCAAATCTAAGATATCTTTTCTAGTTCAACACACTAGAGAAGTATACAATGGTATTCCTTTGATTGCTAAAGTCTTAACAGAATGACAGCTATTTCAAATTTTTTAAATTCTCATCTCTAAGCTTCTTGTAATCTATTAATTATACACGTCAAACATAGCTATATTATAAAAAAAGTTAAGGATACTTGTTTATAAATTTACCAAAATATTCAGAGTGAACAATATATGCTTACCTCCACATATTTTTTCAAAAACCAAATAAAACCTATAAGAAGAGATAAAACCATGCTTAGTAGTATAAAATAATGCTAAAAAAATATTAACTGCAGAAGATTATGATACACCATGTATTTCGTTATTATTTCGACTGCAACAATTTGCATATTCTTAATAGGATCTACAATTTTCAAATATTGAAAACTATACATTTGTAAAAATCACTTTCTACTGAAAAAACTTTTAACTGCAGAAATTTTATTGTGGTAATTCTTTATCTGATACACAAAATAACGAATGTGTGTTTTATCCTGTTAGACATTTGAGTCAGGTAAATTCTGCTTAAAATATTTATACACAGTTAGACCACAGTGATTAGTGGAATTTACTATATGATTGTCACAGTCATTAATTGGTTATGTTCAACTAACTTATTATTCTCACATAAGCCTTGAACAGTTGGAATAACAGAAAACACTGATTTTAATTAGTTGATTATTTTTGCAAGTCATGACACTAATTATTTAAGTTGACTAACCTTGAATTAATTCAAAATAATAAAACAAAATTGTAATGGCAATATGTCTATTACTTTGATAGTTGTAATAATTGGGAAACACTAATTTTGAATACGTGATCACTTTATGTGACACTAATTGATGTAATCAATGTTCACAAATTATCAATCATACCAATTAGTAAGTAATTCACCCAGATCTATACACAATAGAGGAATATACCAGAAGACAAGTGGGAATTCACCTGGAGAAATTAAAGATCCAAAACCATACAAGATATTTAGTCCAATATTATATTCATTCACATATAAGAATAGGTAAGTCAGCAACTATTTAATTCTAATTTTTTAGTATAAAAATATTAAAACTGACTAATGCATTACACAGCCCTTTTTACAACTTATCCTCAAACTTTGATATTTCATAGAGAACTGTACTTTCTTATAACAGTAACCTTGCTTAATAAAACATGTACATATTTAACATTTCATGGTAATCATCCTCGCTACAGTATATATGCATTATTATTATTACTATTATTAGTAGTAGTAGTATGAAAAAAACTTACAGGATATTTATATGAATATAAATAAAATGCTTTAGTACCATTTCCTTGAACCCACCTGTCTTCCTCCTCAAAAAATTCAATAAGTTGGATAATGTTCTTTTGCCCCTGGCAGTGGTGGAATGTTTCTATCTCTCGGAATACTCGAGCCCGACTGTGGCTAGGTTCTTTTTCAATGATCTACAGTAGAGAAGGCATTAAAAGAAGAATGTACTGTAATTTTAATACCAGATAAAGAAAGAAAAAAGATTATTAGTCTTCCAAAAAAAAAATATCACTACATAAAAATCAAGTATTAGAATGTAACTGCTCTGTTATTGGACAACCTTGTCAGTTAACTTTTATGTCCATAGGTATTTTGTATATAAAGATAAATCAGAAACATTAAGATAATTACAGTTACCAAAAGTACTATATGCTACATGCATTTATTTTTATTCTTTTTAAATAAAACAATGTACAAGTAAGTTTGAAAAGTCATATAAGAAGTGTTTTAAAACAATTGAGTAAAATTGTACTATACTCTGACTAGTATTTATTACAACCTACTCTTCCATGAACACTACCATACAAGTCATACCTTAACAGCATATTCATTCCCTGTATAAAGGTTAATACATGTTCTAACTGAAGCATATGCTCCCTCTCCAAGTATTTCTCCTGTCAGTCTGTACAGATCTGTGAAGAACAAGTATGAATCATTATTACATACATTTGGTGTTCAAATCAATTAAATTTAGATGTTTTGAAACACAACATTCCCCTAGAAAATGCTTATTTCGACTTTCTACAATACATTTCAAATATTAATATACTAACCACAAAAAATTACTATCATGTACAACAGACATGCTTACTGTAAAATTGTCATGAATAAAATCTTAATTCCAGGTACAAGTTCAATAAAAACCTCAAAATCATTAACAAACTATGATAACAAAGCCACAGGTACTTCTATATTATATCATTCAGTGGCAAAGTCAGAATTAGCTAACATAACTTTCAAAATATAGTACATGATTTTTTTTTAACTAAAAATGTCTTTAGAAGTTAGGGTGCATATAATACATAACAAATATCAGGGGACTTTTCCAGCCAGTCCAGACCATTTTTTCAAAAATGCATTGTGAATGATAATGTACACTTACTAGAAATGTTGCATTTCAATGATGTCTGTTATTAATTATCTCTGTTTCTGAGGCATAAACGAGAACTGCCTCCCATTTTCATTCATTTTTCAGCATTTTTAAACATGAGTTTTGAAAAGCTAGAAATGTTATCGCCACATTACATTTCATATTCAAAACTACAAATAATTTTCAGTGAAGCCTTCAAATCTCAGTCCAAATCACTGCCCTTGAGAAGTTGACGCAACTTCTGTCTTGTCTTCACTATAAATGGCATCACCACAAACACAGTCTTCATCTTTGTTATCTACAGCAGCAGTATCATCATACAAGATGATATATTCTGAACCATCCATGGCATTTGTAAGGCAACACTTGTTAAAGCCATGCTGAATCAGTGTTGAAAAAGGCTAGTTGTGTATTATCTATGGTGATAAGGTAACGTTGACTCTTTGTTCATGAAGATTAGTGTGTGCATTATATTTAGAAAATTATGGTAACCTAGATAATAGTATACCAACCAAGATGTACTGAAAGGCAGTTGTCTCCTATACAAAAGATGGCATCTTTACAGAACAGATTTTGAAAATATTTGAACACTGAATCTGTTTACTAATTAAATATTAGCCTAAAAGAATTAACAGGTTTTAAAACCAATGAATATCTTCTAATTTTATGGTGATTGTACACCCCACAGAATAAATATTCTAAATGCTACTCATGATATTCCATGTCCAGTAAATCTAAAAGAAAGTTTCACCCAAACTCAGTGTTAGCTAAAATACTGATAATGAAATCTTTCACCATAAGAATGAAACTAGATGATAAAAGAAATAAAACATTTGTTTTTAGAACTAGCTTTAATGACCTTCAAAAGTGCTGGCTGCCAAACTTGGTTCCCTTCTCTTCTTCTTTCTCCTTTTCTTTCGTTCTCCTTGCTGTATGGGAATGGGTTCTGGCTCACTGCTGACATGGCCATTCTTGGTGTTAGCTGGGAGAAAGTCCGAGGTTGCAGTCTCTAAAAGTGAAACAACGACAAGCAAGTTTTAGATCAGTATCAGCTGGTATTAGTAATTCAAAAAGCATTAAACTTATCGAAAAATGAAAGAAGAAACCCACAAAATTAAAATACACCTTATTAAATATTACAACTTGTCAAGCCATATTTATTACAAATGCAAATCTTTATTGAAAATCTTCTTTAAGATCTGGAAATCATAATATTGTTATTACATTTTCCAAAAACAGGTTGTCATTCAGATGTATAAAACCTATTATAATATATTTGTCACAAATTGAAGAAAAAACGAAAGCTTGAGTTTCATGTGTCCCCCAAATAGTTTCAAAATTACGTTTAAAAAATAACTCGCATAAATTTAATCTTTAGGAAAAATAAAAGGAAAAAACCTTTTAGCAGTTGAAGAAAATTAAACAAACGCGCGCGCGCATGCATACATATATATATATAACATACACGTATTATATAAAGAAATGCTATTTTGTCTACAGTTTTTAAAACACGTGGCACTTTAAAATAATATGGTCAATTTGATGCTGCAGTTTCATTTTTTCAAAGCTCCCACTACTGTTATAATTCACGTATTTACTAAACTTTAAAAAGATTCGTAAACATGTTCTTTATGGAAGTGTTGACAACTGGACACCTGAATAATTACAATTCTATGGCACATCATAGGTTAAAAAAGAAAATGTAAGTGAACCTTTATGTACTGGTTTTCTATAACAAGTGGGAAAAAAGTACTCGTCCGCTCGTATTTACGAATGAAAACACCAAATGAACGAGTACAAAAATAACCATTTCGGAAAATTTTCTTATTCATTAATGTAGCCTTGAACAAGAAATGACATTTAACGTACTTGTTTTTTTTGTGACGGATTTATTATTTTATATTCATTTTAAGATCGATGTTTTGTTTAAATTAAATTTATATTTAGAAATGTACATAATGTATAGTGTTAAATATGTATTGCGAAACTCCCGCATATTTTCTAAAGTTGTAGAAGATTCTGGAGTGTAAGAATCAACAGTGTGTGTGTGTGTGTGTGTGTGTGTGTGTGTGTGTGTGTGTGTGTGTGTGTGTGTGTGTGTGTGTGTGTGTGTGTGTGTGTGTGTGT